AAAAAAAGTGATAGACAAGAAAGGAAGGACTATACAGAACTGTACCTTCCAATAAATTGCTGATGACGTCTACCACTAACATGGGTCTGATGGCTAGCAAAGCTTGTGGACAGACGACATTGGCAGAGAGAACAGCGAGAGTATGAAGCAAATGGACCGTGAAATGTCTAAAGATGCCAATGAGTGCTATGGTCACATTTACAAAAAGTCACTGGTGCGAAAGCCGCAACATTTCACAAATTAAATATTTTTGGTAATCTGGCAGCGCACAGATGAGAAGCGTGTAATTGAAAAGAAAAAATGAAAATCTCAAAATCTTTTGGAATACTATCCAGACATGACTAGACATACCGATATGTGAGGAAAGGTTGGGCTTTCCTCCCATCCAACGAAATTCGGAAATGTCTCCTCTTGCGAAGAAGATTGGCTAGCACTGACCGCAGTTTCATGACTCTCACTGCCGAATAGAGAGAAGTCCGAATATGCATGTGTCAAGCTGAAAACGAGTGGTAACCAATTGTACGTAGATATATTCAAATTTCAGTCTAATACTGTGACAAAAGTGTGAGAGAAAACGAAAAATCACATCTCTACATGGCAGCAAAAACTCACGTCTCGGATTCTCCTCCCCAATCGTATATACCGTCAAAGCGGCTGCTTTCAGACGGTGGTACCCGTGCATCATCAAGTGAAGGCACCCGAAATGGCATAAAATCAAGTAATCTGAAACTATCCTAAGGATATATTACTTCCAATTGAAATGAAAACAGAAGTGGAGAATGTAAGTTAATGAAATTTACCCAGGTGTCTCGTCATGGAGTGCATCATATATGACTGCAGATATCTCACTAAAAGCAGCGGACATAGAGAGGCTTTCTCGTGACGAAGAGCTATCAGTCTTCTGTAAAAGATGTTCTATAATTGGAAAGTGTTTCTTTAGAAAACACTAAGTGCTTTCATTTGTATTTATTCGGAAGAGGGCCAGAGGAACTTGTCCATAGGGCGTCTGTCCCTTCAATTCTCATGCAAAAATCAGGGAGAGGTAAGTTCAGTGAATATAGTGACTACATAACTTGAGTCCTAGACTAAACTTGTCAGGTATACAAGAATTCCGCATCTGAAGCCCAGGCATTTCTCGATGATTTATAACTCATCGAGATACATCTTCCAAGAGAAAGAAAAAACTCACTCGTTTCTCTGCATCCAACAGATACGTCTTTGCTGAATCCCACCGGGATAGAAGATCAGCAACAGAATTCTCAATCATGCGACATAACAATCCTTGATCTGAAAATTCGTGCTATCAAGGAGCAGGAAATGTCCTCGGAAAAACGATTTGATACTGGCATAAAAAGTC